GTGTTACTACTACCACACAGATAGATGCTATTGACATTTTGGTATGTTTTTTTTTTTTTTGGTATTTTTTTTATAAGTCATACATACATAAAATTTAACATTGAGATGAAATTTATATTCTGTATATATGTATTTTATAGCTTTTTACACTTAATGAACCTTAAATATTTCTCCATCTTTTAACATACTTTTGCAAACATTTAAAGAGTCTGTCATTCAGATGTGCCACATGATTATTTTGTTTTATTTTTTTTAAGGATGTTATTTACTTAAGAGGGATGAGAGAGAGAAGGAGGGAGGGAGAAGCAGACTCCCCAATGAGCAGAGAGTCTGATGCTGGGCTTGGTCCCAGGACCCCAGGATCATGATCTGAGCTTAAGGCAGACACTTAACTGACTGAGCCACTCAGGGGCCCCTATAAGATCATTTTAAATTTTTTTTAAAAAGATTTTATTTATTCATGAGAGAGAGAGAGGCAGAGACACAGAGGGAGAAGCAGGCTCCATGTGGGGAGCCTGACGTGGGACTCGATCCCAGGTCTCCAGGATCAGGCCCTGGGCCGAAGGTGGCCCTAAACTGCTGAGCCACCTGGGGTGTACACGATCATTTTAAAGTTCCAATTTTTAATTACTGATAAATGCGGGTTGAGTCAGGAATGGTGCACAGACCAAAGAATATCCTAGTTTGGGATCAGGTGGGAGGGCAAATATTATTTCCTTATTTGTGGTACAGACCTCTGTTTCAAGAAAAAAAATTATCTCAAGTATTAGTAGATCCAACATTAATTTCCTTCACTTTAAAATTTTTTTAAAATTTTTTTAAAATTTTATTTATTTATTCATGAGAGACAGAGGCAGAGACACAGAGGGAGAAGCAGGCTCCTCTCAGGGAGCCCAATGCAGGACTCGATCCCTGGACCGGGATCGCACCCTGAGCTGAAGGCAGATGCTCAACAGCTAAACCACCCAAGCATCCCAACATTAATTTCCTTTGTAACTTTCATTAGTAATAGAGGAAGGAAGTGAATTTTAGAGTGAGAGGACAGTTGCAACCCCAAAATTTCGAAGTATAAGGTTTCCCTTTTAGGGCATCTGAATTTCCTCTTCAGACTTCCCAATTAGGCTGCTCTGCCCATTATACCATCCTGAGGGGAAACCCCAGCTTCATTTTATCTAATTTGGAGATTACACAATATGGTGTAAAGTTAAAAACATAAGTTATATGATGGTATATAACACATTTTGGAGGCCCCAGAATTATTCACAGAGATAGGCTGTCAACCTCCAGAATGAGGTGAAGTAGGTATGTGAGACCCAGTGACCATGATCAGAGCAAGCAGTGACTCCCCATTCCAAGCAGGGGGCAGATACTTCTAATTACAGATATGTGCCGGCTGTGCCAGTTCCTTGGGAATCCACACATGTGAGAGAATATAGGCTAATAATTCTGCCCAAGTAATTTTTTAAAAAAGATTTTATTTATTTGACAGAGAGTGCAAGTGAGCACAAGAGGGAGAGTGGCAGGCAGAAGGAGAGGGAGAAGCAGGCTCCCCATTCAGCAGAGAGTCCAACATGGGGCTCGATCCCAGGACCCTGGAATCATGACCTGAGTTGAAGGCAGATGCTTAACTGACTGAGCCACCCAGATGCCCCTCTCCCAAACAATTTAAGGGAGGACACATATCTTAGATGTAACTCTTTGACTTAGTAATTTTTTTCTCTAGTTTATATTCCTGGTTTATGTTCATTCAAAATAACTGGGTGCCTGGATGGCTCAGTGGTTAAGTGTTTGCCTTCGACTCAGGTCATGATCCCAGGGTCCTGGGATCAAATCCCAGGTACCCCTCCTCCTGCTCTCTCTCAAATAAATAAATAAAATCTAAAAAATCTCTTATTAAAAAATCTAATAAAATCTAAAAAAATTATTATATATTGTATTTATTTCCCCAGAATAGAGAGAATTTTCTCTATTATTAAAACACTTGAGGGGATCCCTGGGTGGCACAGCGGTTTGGCGCCTGCCTTTGGCCCAGGGCGCGATCCTGGAGACCCGGGATCGAATCCCACATCGGGCTCCCGGTGCATGGAGCCTGCTTCTCCCTCTGCCTGTGTCTCTGCCTCCCTCTCTCTCTCTGTGACTATCCTAAGTAAATAAAAATTAAAAAAAAAAAATAAAACACTTGAAATAAAGAAAAAAGAGTAACGTGTGTAATACTGTACCCTAGTATAACCATTGTTACAGCATTTTAGATCATTCTTTCTGATTTTTCAAGTCTTTTTTAAGCATTTGTAATTATACTGTATACAATTTTGTGTTGTACTTTTGTTATTTACATGGGAAAATGCTGTGTCTTCAGTGCTTGACAGAGTAGGCAGTCAAATATTTACTAAAGATGAATTATGGACATATTTTTACATAGTCTTTTGAGCATTTAAAATTTTTTTTTAATTTTATTTTATTTATTTGAGAGTGAGAGCAACAGAAGCATGGGTGGCTCAGTGGTTAAACATGTCTATCTTCGGTTCAGGTCGTGATCCTGGGGTCCCGGAATCGAGTTCTGCATCAGGCTCCTCACAGGGAGCCTGCTTCTCCCTCTACCTGTGTCTCTGCCTCTCTCTTTCTGTGTCTTTCATGAATAAATAAGTAAAATCTTTAAAAAAGAAAAAAAAGAATGTGAGCAAGAGAGAACAGGAGAGGGGGAGAGAGTGGACAAAGGGAAAGGGAGCAAGCCAACTCCCTGCTGTACAGGGAGCCCCACCCAGGACTTGAACCCAGGACCCTGAGATCATGATCTGAGCTGAAGGCAGGTGCTTAACCAACTGAGCCCTCCAGGTGTCCCCAGCATTGTTTTTGTTGTTGTTTTTAAAAGATTTTATTTATTTGACAGAAACAGGTAGTGACAGAGATTGAGAAAGTCTACATGAGCAAAGAGGAGAGGGAGAAGCAGACTTCCTCTTGAGCAGGCAGCCTGACGTGGGACTCTAGCTCAGGACCCTAGGATCTTGACCTGAGCTGAAGGCAGATGCTTAACTAACTGAGCCACGCAGGCACCCCTGAGCATCGTTTTTGATGGACCATTAAATACACTGAATATTTTTATATATGTGAATATTTTTATGTATGTCACTCTTCCTGATGCATATAGCTTTTTCTTTTTCTGTGTATACGATTATTTCTTTAGAACAGATACCCAAAAGTGACTATGGGTCCAGTTAATTATTAGTCAGAATTCTTGGTGCCAAAGGGCAGAAACATAGTTAGGAAACATTTTGACTATTCTCATTGGGGGATGCAGGATAAATATAGCTTCCTCGGGGTTGTAGCAGGTGCTCACATTGCACCCTTAGGGCTTTGTCTCTTACCTCTGGCCAACTCTTGCCACCTGGTGGTAAAGATGGGCATTGGTAAATTTTTGTGATTGATAATCCTGACAGATGTTTTGAAAAAGATGAATTGATTTAGCTAATCACTCAGTGGGGTGAAGTATCTTGATTAATTAAGCATGTGTCATGTGCCCACAGTTGGGGGTTACCTCAGCTTCAACCAAACACATAGAAAGACCAGATTTATTTTAGAATGTGTGAAGGTGATGTTGATAAATACTTAAATAATTTTTTTCACAAAAATCCAGAATGGTCCGTTAAAAAAAAACTAGGGAAGGTGGTTTCCTAGGAAAAGTCTTTGGACAGACAGGAAAGGATATCTATTATAAATGTTTTTTAAAGTTATTTAATAACTAAACCATCATTTAACTTTTAATTAATTTTATTAAGTATTTTTGCCACTCTTGATAGTGATTGCTAAATGATTTCTAAAATTTTATACTAGCCCTGGCACTATTTCCTATTTTACTGTACTCTCACCCATGGGCATTATTTTCTGAATATTTTGCTAATTTAATGTATTAAAAAGTGGAACCTTGTTTAGATTTTCTTTTTTCACTTAACATCTATCATAATTATTTGCTATAATTGTAGTTTAATTGACTGCTTACTCTTCCATTTGATTGGTTTACCATAGTTTACAAGCTAATTTTCCAATTATTGGTCTTTTAGATTGCTTTATATATTTTTTTAACCTTTGTAGGTTATTTTTTTTTAAGATTTTATTTATTCATGAGAGACACACACGCACACAGAGGCAGAGACACAGGCAGAGGGAGAAGCAGGCTCCATTCAGGGAGCTCCATGTGGGACTAGATCCCAGAACTCCAGGATCATGCCCTGAGCTGAAAGCAGGCACTTAACCACTGAGCCACCCAGGCATCCCTAAACCTTTGTAGGTTATAATACTACAGGTATTTTTATATATCCATAGGTTTTTGGATTTTGCCTCTATTGACTTTTTTCTTTTAGAAAACTTCTAATGATATTATTGTATCAAAGGTATAAACATTTTGACACCCTTGCTTTCAAAGACTTTCACTGACTTCTGTTTTTACTAATGTAAGTGATGTTCATGTATCACATGTTTGCTAACATTGGCCATTATTTTTAAAGAATATATGTTGGGGGACGCCTGCATGGAGCCTGCTTCTCCCTCTGCCTGTGTCTCTGCCTCTCTCAATCTCTCATGAATAAATAAATAAAAAATCTTTAAAAAAATAAATTAAAAAAATTTTTTTAAAAAGAATATATGTTGGTTAAGTACAAAAAGTGATCTCAAATTGTTTTTTTTAATTATTTTTTAATTATTATTATTATTATTATTTTTTAATGATAGAGAGAGAGAGAGGCAGAGACACAGGCAGAGGGAGAAGCAGGCTCCATGTACCGGGAGCCTGACGTGGGATTCGATCCGGGTCTCCAGGATCACGCCCTGGGCCAAAGGCAGGCGCCAAACCTCTGCACCACCCAGGGATCCCTCAAATTGTTTTAATTAACAATTTTAAGTTGACATTTTTAGTGACTCTTCAACTCCCATCTTCTCCTTACCTCATTATTTAGAATTATAAATACAAGATATACCCTGTGCTTTATTTCATTTCTTCTTGTGCTCAGGTCTGGTCCATCGAACTCACATGTCATCCTGTCGTGTGGATAAGCCCTCTGAGATAGTGGATGTTGGAGACAAAGTGTGGGTGAAGCTTATTGGCCGGGAGGTAAGGTTCTATGCAACTTCCATGTGGTTAGAAAGACCGAGGAAAGGCTAGAGAAGGCAGTGTTGGTATTTTATTTTATTTATTTTATTTTTTATTTATTTATTTTTTTTTTCAGTGTTGGTATTTTATAATGACCAGTGTGTGTATGCTGTTAACTGTGGCTGATGATCTTATTTTTAAACCCTGCCACTGTATTCTGTCCTGAATTGAAACCTTCTGGCTAGCTGTCCTGTAAATTCAGAAGGGATGTGGTGTAAACTATAATAAGTGTGCTGTAATAAGTACATGTTTATAGAACATGTTTATAGAAACTCCCTGAAGTTTATCCAAATCTGGGGTGAAAAAAAAAAAAGAAAAAAAAGAGAGAAGAAAATTTATGGGACTAGTCTTTACCATAAATTTCGAAGAATAGCTGCCAGGTACACTTCAGTTTGGAACAACACAAAACAAAACAAAAGACACAGAGTTTACGGTTATTGTTCCTAATACCTGGCATCATGCAATGTGAGGGAAGTGAGAAAGGTCTGAAGGACCCTGTTAACAGCAGCTCACTTGAGTGCATAAGGGCTGTAGATGTAGGTAGACCTCCAGGACAAATGTGATTATACACTGAGGCCTGCTCTTCCATCAGAGAATGGCAGGGGAGATAGGTCTGAAAGAGATACTATTCTTTAATCCTTGAGTGCTTAACATGTTCTAGTCTGAAGGATGTAAGAGTGAGGCCAGTCCTAGGTGACCTCAGCTGTTATGGAACTTATATAGAGTATAACAGGACGAGACAAATATAAAAATGAGCAAGCACACATATAAAATAATTATAAATTATAGTAAGTGTTGTAATGGTCTCAAGCCAGTATCAGAGGTAGATTTATATAAAGTGGTCAGGAACAGGCTCTGCGGAAATGACGTATTAGCAGAGACCTAAAGGAAGAGGCTCCAGTCATGGAAGAGTTGGAATAAGCATATTCCAGGCAGGCAGAATAACATGCAGAGATCCTGAAGTGGGAAAGGGCGTCAAGTCTGGAGGAAGCAAAAGAAGACCAACATGGCTAATAATTGCCTTCATGTTTAAAAATGCACTAAAAAAATAAATAACAATTTTTTTTAATAACAGTTTTTAAAAAGCAAAACAAAAAACAAAAAAACCAACAAAACAACAACAAAAACCACCACAATAAAAATACTCTAGACCAAATCTATAAGGGGATCTACTCTAGTCTGGAATGTTTGGGAAATGCATTCTGAGCTCAGGGATCTATGAACTCATCATTATGCTGAACTTATCTGGAAAAAACAGCTTATATTTTCTGCCTGGTTACCTCCATAGGCCTTGAATTTCTTAGCAATCATTTCTGTCTTTCTTCCCCAGAGGGATAAGAATGAGAAAAAAACCATTTCCTAAAGTTATTCTGCCACAAGATCTATTTATAATGCTCATTAGTACCCCCAGTGTTCCTAGTACAGGACCTCAGCCATTAGAGGAGTTCAGTGTTTGTTATGATGATAAAAGCTTTGATGCTTAGTTAGATTTGATTTATTTTATTTTATTTTTTTCATTTTTAAAAATATTTTATTTATTTATTTATTCATTCATGAGAGAGAAGCAGGCTCCATGCAGGGAGCCCAACATGGGACTCGATCCTGGGGCCCCAGGATCAGGCCCTGGGCCAGAGGCGGCACTAAACCGCTGAGCCACCCGGGCTGCCCCTTTAGTTAGATAATTTTAGATGAGAAGTCCAAATGATGTACTCTTAGCTTTTGGTGACTTTGCTTTTGTCTTTTACAGATGAAAAATGATAGGATAAAAGTATCCCTATCCATGAAAGTCGTCAACCAAGGAACTGGGAAAGACCTTGACCCCAACAACGTTATCATTGAGTAGGTAAAAGGTTTAGAAAGGTTACCATCCTACTTCTCAAACAACAGAATGCTATAGTGAATCAAGCTGACCTAAGAACTCTACCATTTATAGTCTGTGATATTGATGAATTCTGTAGCCCTGGTGATCCTTGAATATGCATAGAGTTCTAAGATTGAATGCTAACATGCAAAGCATTGAAGTGCTCCATCAGTGGTTTTGTTTCCTTCCCCTTATTCTTTGTTTGCCCTTTAACCAGTTAGCCAACCAGCTCATGAAGCATCTGCTACTTGTCTCTCTCCTAGCACAGGGGCTCCAAAAAGATAGAGACCATGTGGAAAGGTAGAGTGATCTAGAAGCCACTCAAGTGGGGTTTAGTGCATCTTCAGATAACTGTGTTCTGAATATAACATCTTTACTTTCATTGGCTCTTCTGATCTTTCGTATAGGAATGGAAGATTTGCTATCCATGTAGGCCAATGTCTGGTGATATAAGGAATTTGCTATCTCTTTGAAAGTCTTTCTTGAATGTATGCCGGTG